TTGAAGAGTTCCCCGCACCGTCACTTCGTGCCGCGATAGCCAGCTTTGTAAGAACAGATGTTCATAACCTATCACGAGGGGAAAGCTCCCACCAGACCTATGCTTGAGAATCACTCACAATACACGAATCTCGCCATCTCAGCCCATAAGATTGAACCAGGGTCCATCCCTGAAGTGGCAAAGGGATCAGAGTTCGCGGAGCTCGAAACTAACTGGCTATTGCTGCCGACTCTGCTCGCAAAACAACGTGGCGCCCTCCAGGCATGCGAGAGCTCCAGCCCATAGACCAGCCATCTGATGGATGGACATGCTAAATCTTGATGCCGTATGCGTACAGCTGGGTGAGCCTCCACGAGCAGGTGGCGTTGATGAGAGGGTCTGGAGTCCCAAAGGCTGGTGCAAAAAGGCGGTGTGCACCCCCATCGAGTGGTGTCCAGAGAGAACGCACTTCAGCCTATGAAAAGCCAGCCGAACTTCTCCTCACTCGCAGGGACTGACACCTTTAGACACTTGGCTTATTTGTTAATCCGACAAGCTGATTTTTCGAAAGCGCAGGACGGGTTGAATGTGCGCTAATGGATCAGCGAAGACGCCGGGCGTTCGACGAACCGAGAGGGAATGCAAGAATGGTGTGCATCAGCATCTTGACGATCTGATCACTGGCATAAGGGCCATCCGCCAGCCGGTCCGTCAACACACTGGCCCTTGCCCTGATCCTGAGGTCCGATCCCGGCCGAACGTCATGGTTTGGCGCCTGCGAACAGGTTCCTCCATCCGTGAGGGTTCAGATGTCGCTGTCTCACGTCCTACCACGGGATTTCTCGCAGACAAAATGTGTTGGTGGCCAACGTTGGTCGTAGTGCGCAGCACCAGCGGCGGCTACCCGCCAAAAATGGGGTTCGACTCTTGTACACCCCCTCCATCCCTGCAAGTGCGTCAATGCTTTGTATGCATCTTGGCACTTTCTTTGCGCTCCACTGCGCCCGTCAGCCTGGAGCGCTGCATTGAAGCATCTCTTGGGGTTTGGAGAGAGATCCTTGGCTCTGGGCTTAAGTGAATGTGCCATGAGGTAATCAGCCACAATTTTGCCAGTGTCAAAAATCCGCCGAGGACATACATTCGATAGATAGATGACCACGATGAGCAAGTAGCTGAGGCTAGGAACTGGCAGCTCCTGATGATGTCGAGCTTCCAGACAATCTTGCCATTTCACCTGACCAGGCGATGGAAGGACTTGCACGATAGCCAACACGGGTTTCTGAAAACATAGAAAATACTCAGGGCCTTAGACACCTAGCACGCGTCATGACTGCTTCGCATATCGCGTTTTCTCGTTTGGAACACCGAGGTGTCCTTTCATCGCAATTCGGATGAGGGTGGCCGCGTGTACGTGACAATAGGCTGTCTGTGACCGAAAATGCTTACCGATGTGGACAAGCTATACATGACCGAGGCCAAACTCGAGACGCTGCAGCTGGCCCATCATCATTGCAGAGGCCTTGGCAAGACCTGTAGCCGGCATGATCCTCCAGTTGCTTGACATGTTCACGCCAGTGTGTCTAGCGGATGTGCAGTGTCGATCCCTTGGACACGGTCATGGCCAGCCAGAGGATAGGTAGCTTGAAACGAGAGGGTGTCACCTGGAGACAGGAAGAAGACACAGTTGCAGCGCGGTTCCTCCAGCAATTACCTCAAGGAACCACCCAAGACAATAAAAAGCGAAGAGTCATCGGCAGCTGTTGAGATACAAGACGTGGGTCTTGTCGACTCGTGTGCATACGGGCCGTCTGGGATGGAGGGTCGGCCGACATCAAGGCAGGGCGATGGGAAGCTTGGCAAAGTGCTTGACAGCAAGAGACGGAATCGATGACTCCCTTCTCGGTCTCCTTATCCAGTGCCGTCCCGCAGGAGCGCTCCGGGGGCTGCCCTATGAGAGGAGCTAGTGGGACTCGGGGGGTGCAGGCAGACTGCATTTCAGCCCGATGTGCCCCCTCGACGATTGGCTCCCAGAAGGTTCTCTCGTGACAAGAGGTGTGTGGGCTCTAGCTGTTCTGCCTGCCAGAGAGCAGCCAGCTGCCTGGGCTGCCTGGAACGGACCACGTCGTACGCCAGTGAGAATGCCAGAAAGTTGAAAGGGTGGGCGAAGAACCAAGCCGGTTCAATCCCCTCGTAGAGGTTGGCGATTCCCGTCTCTGGCTCAGCGTTCTCATGCGTATGGAAAGAAAGGCACGATAGCATCGCCAACCTGCTTTCCGGGTGAGCGACATTTGTCACTGAAGGAAACGCGCGAAATCTCTTTCGGGGCACCCACAATTTTCTTCTTCCCCGATCTTTTCTCGCCTTGCCGGGTCTGTCAGGTCAGCCACCCCGGTCCGCGTGCGCCGTGGATTGATACCCAAAGGCCAAGATCTACGAAGTCGGGCATTAAAAGGACGAAACGAAACGCGGGAGACGGGGTCACGCCAGGAGAGAGCTGGACAAAAAGGGTAGGACACATACCCCCAACGAGCTACTGACACTCCGTCATCGATGCACGAATTGATTGGCATTCAAGCAGACGGATGTGCCGTTGGTCGAATCATCTCGTGGTACGAGGCTGTTGTCATTAGCCAGCTCGAGTGCTCGAACAGAGGCTTATCGAGGCCAACGGCTCCAAGGCGCAGTAGTAGCGACAGCAGCAGCACCACCTGGACCAAAACAACAACAAGCGCCATCCGGTCCTGAACAATTGTTCCTTGACAGCTTTGACATTGGTCATCTCGCACCGCACACCGACCCGCCCAGCCTAGAAGGTGGCACCTGCACAGAAGGTTTTGCCCCCTCCCCCCTCTCACTACTCTCCCTCCAAGTCAAGCTTCTGGGTGACGGGGGGCGTCCATTTCGCCAGCTCGGTCGCGGGCGGGAAGAAACGAAACGTACCTCTCTTCCCGGCAAGGCCAAATTGGGGCTCCATTCCAGGGCAGAAAAGAAGGCAAGGTTCTCCACAATTGGGCCTGCGTGCTTCTGTCCGTCAGTCCGGAGCGCTCAGACTCGGACACTGATTGATTTGCGCCGGGGCGGTCCGCAGGTCTTAGCACCGCTGAACAGTCCGTCCTAAAGGTAGATCCCGGTTGGGACACCGTCTTTCATTTCGTTCGTCCGTCCTTTAAAAAGGGACAAAAGCGGCAACACAGTATCAAGATGAATAACAGGCAAAGACCAGCAAAGAGAAGAGGAGAAAAATTGACAGAGAGCGAGCGAGATACACCACGTCGACGACACACGCGGGAGATTACCTCGACGCCTCACTCGCTCCTGCCACCCCATCCGGGCATGTGGAAAGTCTTTCCGCCTGGCTGTCTGCCTCCCTCCCTACCTGTACCTTGCCTTTGCCTTGAGGTGCCACTTCCTTGCCCAGGTTCTTCTCACAGCGCACACGTTGGCATTGGTCTCACACGCCCACGCACCCCTTCCCCCTTCCCCCTTCTTGAACCATTGCTAGGCCCACCCCCATACCTCAGTCCAACGTGGCCGCCTGCCTACTGGCTATGGCTTTGGCCCTGCCACCCAGACCCAGACCCAGACCGAACTGTCCCGCCGTTTCTCGCGCGCCTACGTATAACCAGGTAGCCTCACTTTCTAAGTGGCCACAACGTTGATGTTGGGCGTGACACAGCCTTTGCCGATGCCGCCAACTTTGGGCCGAACCGGACAACCGAGATTCGAGTAGCAGACCCAAAGGGAAGCAGAGTGAAAGAAACAGAGACGCGCAGATAGAAAAAGAACTCCTGTAACCTGAGGTGGGCGGTGTTCCCTTCCTCGCCATTATTCACCTCCACCTGCACCTACCTGCGTCTTCCTCCGCTGCTGTCCCAAACGAGTCACCGCCGTCTACAGGCACCCCTCTCGGCTGCTTCCTATTGCTTTCTGGGTGCCCTGCATCCCGTACCTACCTGACCTGTACTTCCGGGAGGTACTGTACAGTGACTCCCACTCTGCCTCCGCCTGTCTTCAGGCCTGCTCCTGGAGTCATCCATTCCCCACGATTGGAAACCGTAGCTCTGGTGTGCGCTGCCCACACCCCTCCCTTTCCCCTCGTCTCCTCAGTCTGCCGTGTCTCCTCCTTGCTGTATTGCGGCAAGACACCCACCGACCGGCGCCAGATACACACCCCTACCTCGGGGAGGTACCTGCCCACCTTGAAAAGTGCACACATACATGGTACACACAACACACACAGCATCTGGTGAATTTGACTGGCGACTGACTTTATTGCATCGACGGCTTTTTTCTCTCTCTTTTCTTTTTCCCCCCTTCCCCTGTATCCTCCTGAGTTCCTCGTCTTCCCATCTCATCAAAAACGTTGATCAGCGCCATAAAAAACCATCGCCGTCATCATCTGATCGGCCACGACCCTTCCATCAGCAAGACGACCCAACGTTGACCCCGTTTGGGCTCTTAAGAAGGAAAGACCCTAGCAGCTTGGACGCCGACAAGGACGCCCCTGGCAACCAGCACGAGCCACCTTTGCTCACTTCACTCACCACTCCCATTCATCCCATCCCTGCTGGGCTGCTCGGCTACAACCTACTGGCCTGGGGCTGCCTGCTAGACAAGACATCTCCCCTCCCGCTGTCGCTCCCCCCATTCC